TGATTATGGGGATGATTGGCCATAACGTCTTGCAAGAAGGTCCGGACTAACCAGGCCTCACCGTGTTGAAGAGAGAACTTAACAAACACCTTCAATGAATACCTGATCAACCAGGCTGTGATTCATACGTCCGGCTCCTACCACCGTAACCGGCGGTGGGAAACTGCTTTGGCAAGGCTGCGGGTTGGCCATACCCGCTTAACCCACGGTCACTTAATGGAGCGCCGCCCTGCTCCTTATTGTCCAAATTGCGTTGTCCCTCTTACAGTTGTGCATATCCTTGTTGAATGTCCTGACTTCCAGGACGAGCGTGTGTCTTGCTTTCCGACCGTCCCTCGCGGTCACCTGTCCCTCGATAGAATTCTTGGTGAATCGGATACTTTTGATATCGTTCGCCTAGTGCGTTTTTGTTCTCGTATTGTCATTCTTGGTGATATTTAGCGCCCTCTGATTATTTCGCACTTTGATGGTGCTACATAGCCTTCCCGGTTTGGTGCCTTCTTTTGATAATTACTTACTTCTTACGTCCGGCGTCGAGCAACCACGTCCAACGGCCTGGTTAACCAGACGACAGACCGCGAGGCCTGGTCAGAGACCGGGCCGCGGAACCGTTGATCCCTGGAAGTTACACAAGGTAGACACAAGTTAGGTGCGCTGTAGTACATTTGTGGGCCTGCAGGCCGCTCCAAGCAACAGCCTGTTGGACCAAGATATCACAAGTCGAATGAGGACGAACTCGGGGAGTAACACTCTCGAAACATTCTCCAGGTAGAACGTGGCCAAACTACCTCTCACTAACGGTATATGTGACTGGACGAGAAGTGTGTCACGTTGTGGGTGTTGGATTGTGGTGAAGATGTAGGATGAGGGTGTATTGGTGAGGGTGTAGTGGTGTAGGGTGAGGGTGTATTGGTGAGGGTGTAGTGGTGTAGGGTGAGGGTGTAGTGGTGTAGGATGAGGGTGTAGTGGTGTAGGGTGAGGGTGTAGTGGTGTAGTGGTGTAGTGGTGTAGGGTGAGGGTGTAGTGGTGTAGGGTGAGGGTGTAGTGGTGTAGGGTGAGGGTGTAGTGGTGTAGGATGAGGGTGTAGTGGTGTAGGGTGAGGGTGTAGGGTGAGGGTGTAGGGTGAGGGTGTAGTGGTGTAGGGTGAGGGTGAGGGTGTAGTGGTGTAGGGTGAGGGTGTAGTGGTGTAGGATGAGGGTGTAGTGGTGTAGGGTGAGGGTGTAGTGGTGTAGGGTGAGGGTGTAGTGATGTAGGGTGAGGGTGTAGTGGTGTAGGATGAGGGTGTAGTGGTGTAGGGTGAGGGTGTAGTGGTGTAGGGTGAGGGTGTAGTGGTGTAGGGTGAGGGTGTAGTGGTGTAGGGTGAGGGTGTAGTGGTGTAGGGTGAGGGTGTAGTGGTGTAGGGTGAGGGTGTAGTGATGTAGGGTGAGGGTGTAGTGGTGTAGGATGAGGGTGTAGTGGTGTAGGATGAGGGTGTAGTGGTGTAGGATGAGGGTGTAGTGGTGTAGGATGAGGGTGTAGTGGTGTAGGATGAGGGTGTAGTGGTGTAGGATGAGGGTGTATTGGTGTAGGGTGTAGGGTGAGGGTGTAGTGGTGTAGGGTGAGGGTGTAGGGTGAGGGTGTAGTGGTGTAGGGTGAGGGTGTAGGGTGAGGGTGTAGTGGTGTAGGATGAGGGTGTAGTGGTGTAGGATGAGGGTGTAGTGGTGTAGGATGAGGGTGTAGTGGTGTAGGGTGAGGGTGTAGTGGTGTAGGGTGAGGGTGTAGTGATGTAGGGTGAGGGTGTAGTGGTGTAGGATGAGGGTGTAGTGGTGTAGGATGAGGGTGTAGTGGTGTAGGGTGAGGGTGTAGTGGTGTAGGGTGAGGGTGTAGTGGTGTAGGGTGAGGGTGTAGTGATGTAGGGTGAGGGTGTAGTGGTGTAGGATGAGGGTGTAGTGGTGTAGGATGAGGGTGTAGTGGTGTAGGATGAGGGTGTAGTGGTGTAGGATGAGGGTGTAGTGGTGTAGGATGAGGGTGTAGTGGTGTAGGATGAGGGTGTAGTGGTGTAGGATGAGGGTGTAGTGGTGTAGGATGAGGGTGTAGTGGTGTAGGATGAGGGTGTAGTGGTGTAGGATGAGGGTGTAGTGGTGTAGGGTGAGGGTGTAGTGGTGTAGGGTGAGGGTGTAGTGGTGTAGGATGAGGGTGTAGTGGTGTAGGGTGAGGGTGTAGGGTGAGGGTGTAGTGGTGTAGGGTGAGGGTGTAGTGGTGTAGGATGAGGGTGTAGTGGTGTAGGATGAGGGTGTAGTGGTGTAGGGTGAGGGTGTAGTGGTGTAGGATGAGGGTGTAGGGTGAGGGTGTAGTGGTGTAGGATGAGGGTGTAGTGGTGTAGGGTGAGGGTGTAGTGGTGTAGGATGAGGGTGTAGTGGTGTAGGATGAGGGTGTAGTGGTGTAGGATGAGGGTGTAGTGGTGTAGGATGAGGGTGTAGTGGTGTAGGGTGAGGGTGTAGTGGTGTAGGGTGAGGGTGTAGTGGTGTAGGATGAGGGTGTAGTGGTGTAGGATGAGGGTGTAGTGGTGTAGGATGAGGGTGTAGTGGTGTAGGATGAGGGTGTAGGATGAGGGTGTAGGGTGAGGGTGTAGGATGAGGGTGTAGGGTGAGGGTGTAGTGGTGTAGGATGAGGGTGTAGTGGTGTAGGGTGAGGGTGTAGTGGTGTAGGGTGAGGGTGTAGTGGTGTAGGGTGAGGGTGTAGTGGTGTAGGGTGAGGGTGTAGTGGTGTAGGGTGAGGGTGTAGTGGTGTAGGGTGAGGGTGTAGTGGTGTAGGATGAGGGTGTAGGGTGAGGGTGTAGTGGTGTAGGATGAGGGTGTAGTGGTGTAGGGTGAGGGTGTAGTGGTGTAGGGTGAGGGTGTAGTGGTGTAGGATGAGGGTGTAGTGGTGTAGGATGAGGGTGTAGTGGTGTAGGATGAGGGTGTAGTGGTGTAGGGTGAGGGTGTAGTGGTGTAGGGTGAGGGTGTAGGGTGAGGGTGTAGTGGTGTAGGATGAGGGTGTAGTGGTGTAGGATGAGGGTGTAGTGGTGTAGGGTGAGGGTGTAGTGGTGTAGGGTGAGGGTGTAGTGGTGTAGGGTGAGGGTGTAGTGGTGTAGGATGAGGGTGTAGGGTGAGGGTGTAGTGGTGTAGGATGAGGGTGTAGTGGTGTAGGGTGAGGGTGTAGTGGTGTAGGGTGAGGGTGTAGTGGTGTAGGGTGAGGGTGTAGTGGTGTAGGGTGAGGGTGTAGTGGTGTAGGATGAGGGTGTAGTGGTGTAGGATGAGGGTGTAGTGGTGTAGGGTGAGGGTGTAGTGGTGTAGGGTGAGGGTGTAGTGGTGTAGGGTGAGGGTGTAGTGGTGTAGGGTGAGGGTGTAGTGGTGTAGGGTGAGGGTGTAGTGGTGTACATACAAGAAGGTACAGCGGGTCAGTTCACTACAGGGTTCGGTGACTGAGTGGTCTTCGTCCTCGCAAAGTTACCAGCACATAGTGTTTTGTTTTAGCTTTTCAATTGAGACTAATCCCAGCTGCCCTCTATTGTGTCGCCTGTCAACTAGGCCACACTGGTCCACACTAAGGTCACACCTGAGCCACACCAAGGCCACACTGGTCCACACCAAGGTCACACCTGAGCCACACCAAGGCCACACTGGTCCACACTAAGGTCACACCTGAGCCACACCAAGGCCACACTGGTCCACACTAAGGTCACACCTGAGCCACACCAAGGCCACACTGGTCCACACTAAGGTCACACCTGAGCCACACCAAGGCCACACTGGTCCACACTAAGGTCACACCTGAGCCACACCAAGGTTACACCTGAGCCACACCAAGGCCACACTGGTCCACACTAAGGTCACACCTGAGCCACACACAGTATACGGGTTCACGAGGGAATCTTTGAAATGTGTCTAAACACGATCGAATAGGTCACGTCCGACGCTATTTTGTCGATCTGTGCAGCAAATTATGTCATTGACGACAGATACAGAGCCGCGGGGAGACTACGGGTTGGGGCCACTGATCCCAGGAACCACAGCAATCTCAAACAGTCAGCTAAATGTATCTGGTATTCTCAGCTGATGACAAAAATTAGATAATTATATTTGTTTTTATTATGTGTATGACAATGAAGTATACATTAGTTGACAAATGATTATTACAAAGGAGTAAAGTACACATTAGTTACATATAGTTTTTATAGTTTTCAGTAAAGCAGTGTTTCATATTACTGGACTTCAACACACTGGACTTGTGATCCTGTGGTCCCGGGTTCGATCCCGGGTGCCGGCGAGAAACAATGGGCAAAGTTTCTTTCACCCTATGCCCCTGTTACCTAGCAGTAAAATAGGTACCTGGGTGTTAGTCAGCTGTCACGGGCTGCTTCCTGGGGGTGGAGGCCTGGTCGAGGACCGGGCCTCGGGGACACTAATGCCCCGAAATCATCTCAAGATAACCTATTATAAGTGAGAGTGAACAGTGAGGTTGGCCATAATATTACATTGTATCCTACGTTTCAAAGTTTCGTGTATTGGATAATTATCCTGCCTTCTTATTCACACATTAAATAATTAATAAGAAAATAGGGTATCCATTTTATTTGTGGTTTTCCTGCAATTATATAACATTTTTAATCATTAAAAGGCTCACTAAATCCAACATGATCCGCCAATTGGCTAACAGCCAGGTACCCAATCACGGCTTGCATGGCACGGATTGGCGCCTAGTAAATCCTCCTTGGCCAGGACTCGAACCCAGACGGAGTTTCTGACGTGGGAAGAGTTTCCATATGGGGGTCATTAGGCCTTCTGCAGTTTTCCTTATGTTCTAGAGAAAATCCATGTGGTCTTCTTGGGCCAGATCTTACCTGGATCTTACCTGTAGGTGGTTTCGGGAGTGCCTCTACTCCCCGAGCCCGGCCTGGGACCTTATAACGTTAGATAAGTTACCAATCTATCAATCTCTGCCATTCCGACTAACTAATCATAGATTGTGTGTGTTTGCAGGGTGGTGGATACCAGTTCCCAGCCTCGTTACTCGTGAGTATCTGAGCCTCAAAGCTCCTCAATTGCATGTTCATTCTTATCTATTTTCCTCACATACCCCAGAAAGATTTTTATATACAATGTATTCAGTCGGGAACTTGTGAAGAGTAAAACAGAAGAACTGTTTTAGTGAAGTTCTTTTAAGTTTAATGGTTTTGGGACTTTTTGTTTTGTGTTAGACTTGTGTTAAACTTGTGTTGTTTTTACTGTCATCGCTAATATTATTACTGCAACTACCATGGCTTTATTAACATTTTTATTAACTTTTTACTGCTACTAATAACCAAGGTTTGGTGCCTTCATTTGATAATTAATTACTAATAACCAGAACAACTAATACCAATACTACCAATACTACTACCAATAACAGTACTACTGACATCTGTGAACGTTATGGAGATGTATAGTTTTGCGGCTAATGGACTTCCCAACTAGTCCCAAAATCCCCAACTAGTCCCAAAATCCCCAACTAGTCCCAAAATCACTAGTACTATCCCGCCTTGCATACTTGTGGGTGCTCGCCTCTACCAAGAGGGCGGGAGTGTAATCTGGCGTAGAAGGTGTATTGAACATCTACTGCATAAATAGGCATGATTACTGGATTACCAGATTAATTACCGAAACCGTCTCAAAGCACTCAAATTGTTCTCTCGTGAACCGTCCATCCTCTGGAGTGTACACAGTCACTAAACTGATGTACTAAATTGCCCGAACCTAATCTAACCTAGACTGACTAACCAGGCCGTCCTCTCCAACAGTACATAGCATTCTGACTTTCCTAAAGCCGAAAAAAGTGATGTACTAAAAATCACCGCTGCTCGCATAATTGACGTGGTCTCGTTTTCTACTCGTGGGTCCTCGGTTAGGTTAGGTTAGGTTCGGTCAATTTAGTACATCAGTTTAGTGACGTGAAAGCTCGAGAGGACGGGCTGGGCTAGAGACACGATATAATATGCATAGTATATATACATGGAAGCGACTCGAAGATTAGGCTCCCAAACTGCACTATATACATGGATATATACCAGAGAGTTAGGCTTCCCTGCTATAATCAAACAACTTATTGGAGCTTCAATAAACCCCTGAACTATATGTTTAACACATCTCTAACCCTGTCCATGGAGGACAGACGAAAATGTATATATGTTGATTAGCACTGTAAATGTGTGGCCACGTCTGTGGTTGAAAATAATAATAGTTTAGTTCATTTATTATGCACCCCATACCCATCTTGTGGGCGGTAGTGGAAAGGGTTACAGAGACATATAATGGGCTCAGGGACTGAACCCCACAATTCATTTACCCAATAATAAATAAAATATTATTCAGTATTCAATTATTCGATATTCAATAAAATATAATTCAATAATAATAAAAAAAACTTATTGGAGCGATACGTATGGTAGGAAGCGTTGAACACACCCACAGAAGAACAGAAGTACCACAAGAACAGAGAACACTCACATCAGAAACCAATGATTGGTCATTCTTCCCGACAATATAAACATCAATCAACATCAATCAATAAACAATCAACAATCAATCATATAAAATCAATCAACATCAATCATATAAACATCAATCAATCAACAGCTGGCACAAACGTTATAATTTTCGAACTGGAAATAGTATGATTCTTGAAGTGAAGTACCGGATCAACTGGGTTGTGATGGATCGGTGAGCCTGCTGGCTGATCCAAGCAACGGCCTTAATGATCAAATTATCACCAGAAAAACCTGCTTCCCCCCCCCCTCCCCTCTCATCTGGGTTGTAAAAATATACAAGTAGGCTCGAAACTGGCCACAGAAGAACGCTTATTGTCTCGGCGGAATTATTGTTTCAGCGAAATTATTGTAATTAAGCGTTAGCGCGAGCGACAAGTTATAAGCGGTTGGTAAACCAGTTTTAACAGTGCATATCCGTGTGGTAATACCAGCGTCAGCGGCCTCACTTTAACACCTCACTGATTTACGTGATTACTGTCTGGCTCGGCTGGTTTTGTCCCCGGAACAGGTAGTCTAGAAATGTTAGGTCAGGTCAGGTTGAGTTGGGTTCCTTCTGCACGATAACAATACCCTCGGAGCTGTTGACCTTCAGGCCAATTTGTGAGTCAATTACTGATTTACTATGATTTTAATTATTATAATAAGCTTTATCTGGGACAGGCAGCCTGCGCACGCGCGCGCGTGTGCGTGTGCGTGTGCGTGTGTGTGTGTGTGTGTGTGTGTGTGTGTGTGTGTGTGTGTGTGTGTGTGTGTGTGTGTGTGTGTGTGTGTACTCACCTAGTTGTACTCACCTAGTTGTGCTTGCGGAGGTTGAGCTCTGGCTCTTTAGTCCCGCCTCTCAACTGTCAATCAACAGGTGTACAGGTTCCTGAGCCTATTGGGCTCTATCATATCTGCACTTGAAACTGTGTATGGAGTCAGCCTCCACCACATCACTTCCTAATGCATTCCATTTGTCAACCATTCTGACACTAAAAACGTTCTTTTGTGTGTGTGTGTGTGTGTGTGTGTGTGTGTGTGTGTGTGTGTGTGTGTGTGTGTGTGTGTGTGTGTGTGTGTGTGTGTGTACACATTAGACTTATATCAGGGTCGTCTCAAGGTCGAATTTCTGACCCTGCCCCAGGATGTTGTGGAGTTAGTTAACTCCACAATAGTTGACTAACTTCTGGGTACCAATTTACTGCTAGTTGAACAGTCGTATTAGGTGAAAGGAAACATGGCCAGCTATTTCTATTCCTCCCGGGAATCGAACCCGGGTACTCCGATGAATCTTTATCGCGGATTAATAATATATATATTTTTCCAAAATAATTTTTTTGGTTTTATCAGTTTTCCCCTTTAGTTATCAGGTAATCAAAATATACGTTTTATCAAACGGCAATCTATATTATTATTACAGATTGCGGGTTTATGCATAGTTAGGACTAGGTTAGGTTAGGTAAGTTGTTTGGTACGTTGATTTACGGAGTGTTTACAACACAGGCTGATTGTAAATGAAACACGTCTTGTCATAACCTACTTGGCCATGTTTGAAGCTATTAGTCAAATACTGTTTTATGTTATGTCAGTATTTGACTTGAACGTTGTACTCCAGAGGGCACCTTGTTGGGGGGGGGGAGAGAATAAACTGGGCCTATCTTGCTTCCCGTCAATCCAGCTTTTGCTGTTATTGAACATCAATTACTGAATATGTGCTATTGCTGTGTAAAAATTTTATACTTTTTTTTTTATTCCTTGTGTTTAAGCAGTAAATTTTTAAAAAGTTTTTGTTAGTTACCCCCCCCCCCCCCCTCCCCCAATGATAAGCCTTGAACGCTCTGTTTAAGGCATTGTATATGACTTGCCCCAGGAATCACACAACCTTCTTACAGCCGAAGTATGTATGTGTGAACTTTTGCATAAATTAAAAATTATTATTATTATTATTATTATTATTATTATTATTATTATTATTATTATTATTATATAGACGAGTCACTGCTGCAACAAAGTTAGCAAGGATCACGTTTTCTTAACGTATAGGGGGAACACTATTTTAACTTTTACTCTTTAATTTTTACTCTTTAAAACTGATATATATTTTTCCTAGCAAATTTGAATTAACATATCTAATAAAAATATATGTTTTGCTGTAAATTAGTTAGTAAATATTATTCTTTATTCAATTGGAGTTATTGGACGGGTTAAATGTCGTTTTATAGAATTATTAAAAAAGAATTAAAAAATTGCAAGATCTTTATTTAAAAAGTACACGATTTTCCAGAACACTTTTGTTAGGTTGATAAGGAATGGGGACTGACGACTCATCAATGATTTAACCACACAATATAGTTTTTAGATTTTAATTTTCCCCCACACAAAAAATGGCGCCAAAACGTTCAATAATACATCTGATATAAATAACTTATGTCCAATTACCTATATTTAATTTTTACCCATTTTCCTTGAAACTTAAAAAAAAAAGTTAAAAACCTCTGCCAACATTTAATTGTTGCCAATATTTTGCTGACAACGTTTATATTATTTTTCCGCACTGGCCACTTGTTTTTTTTTTAAATTTTAAAATATCACATTAAATCTGCCATTACTACAAGCGCAGTTGCGTGACAAGACGTAGACTTTCTATTAGCCTCAGTGGAACAGAAAATGGAACAACTGCCAGCATTTATTCATTAATAAGGTCCAGTTAAAATACTAAACATTATGGGCTATTCATGCCCGTGCCACCTCCTGTGTGTGGCTTAATCTTTATCTGTTGTTGTTAAAGATTCGCTACCTGGAACAAAGTTCCAAGTAGCACGGGCTATGGTGAGCCCGTAGTTGTTATGTAAAGTCTTTATCAATCGATTACTAAATATATGGAACACTATACTGGAAACCCGGCTGTACCCGGGTCTCCTCTCTCCTCCCGGTCGTCTCTCTCTCTACTCCTCCCTGCCCCCCCCGCTCTATCTCTCTCTCTCTCTCTCTCTCTCTCTTTTTACCCCTCCCCGTCCTCTCTCCACAGGCGTCTGTCCTCCTACTTTGGACAGATAGACAGACATTCTATTTTCTACATAATGATTAACACCAAAGACACATGCATGTTAGTGAGGAAAGAGTGAGCGCGCGCGTTTGGAAATATTAATGAGGGTGAAAGTTAAGTGTTGCTGGTCCTGGGGTGGAGCAGCATGCCTATGGGCCGAGCAGCAACAGGTCACTGGGTCTGTAGTGAACCACCTCTAGCAGACATGTTGGCTGAGGGAGGGAGGGGAGAGGTCGGAAACATGTGAGGGGCCAAAATGGTGTGGTCTCTGACCTCGCCTCACCTCCCAGGAACTCACTTCCCCAATAAATGTGTCACCATATGCAGGGTGAAAAGAAATAGGCCTAGTATTTCCGGAAGAAACAAGACTAGTTTTCGTTGCCTGTTTTTTTCTCCATAGGAATTACCATGACTCGCATTGTATAGCCCATTGTATATCAGTGGTAGTTTGGCAATACGAGCGA